AACTCTATAGATTGAAATAATAATTCATGGAAAATTTAGAAATTCGAAAATGTACAAAGTGCGTGTAAAATGTAAATGCATCTAAATAAAGTAAAAAGTTATGGCACTCAAGCGAAACAAATTTCTCTTTCAGCGTGAATTTTAGGACTAGAATTCATAATTAAATAATAACTAAAAACACTCACATATTTTTAGTAATCGTAAAATTTTAAAAATGTCCAGTCATTTTCATCAAGTTGTTAGTTATAAGGTAAACGCGAAATTCGTAAAATCATTGTAAAAGTATTTTTTTACGCAGGGGTGCAAATTGGGTCCTCGACAACAGATCAACCAAGCGTCCTCGTACTTAGACCTCTCTCCTGTTTATGGGAGTTCGGAAGACCTAGCGAGAGCTCTGCGATCCGGCAACGGCGGTTTACTTAATACGCAGAGGAAGAACTTGCCCATGCCTTCGCCGAAGTACGAAAGTTGCAGAAGCGCGAACAGAGCTTTCCCGTGTTTTCTTAGCGGAGATTCGCGGGTAAACGAGAACCCCGGTCTCACTCTAATGCACGTACTTTTTCTACGTGAACATAACCGAGTCGCCACAGTGCTGGGACAACTGAATCCTCACTGGAACGACGAGAGACTCTACCAAGAAGCAAGAAGGATCGTTATCGCGGAAATGGAGCATATAACTTATAACGAGTTTCTACCCGTTGTTCTTGGAGAAACAACTCTCGACAAGTACGTGCCCTCTCTCTTCCTTCATAATTAATTTAACGGATTAACAGTTCCACTGGTTGGATACGTGGATACACCCGCGTGGATACATTTTATTTAGTTCATAATTTCTTCTTTAGTTCATAATTTTATTACTGTAAAATGGGGATACTTTAATTTGAATTTATGCAATAGTTTTATCCATTAGATGGACCGGTACTATGAAATTTTTATTTAATTTTACTAATTTGTTACTTTATGTATGAAGTGTTTACGTATTTTGAACTTATGGTATTTAATGGATTAAGAACTCCACTTCAAAAACACATCTTTCGATTCCATACATTTAAAGTCTGCGCATGGGATATCATCGATTTACATCATGCGAGTGGGAGAGTACGAACTTTGAAAAAACAAACGCAATCAAAGGAGAACTTTACGCTTTAAAACGAGAGAAAATGTCACTATATGATTTTTTTTTTTTTCCGAAGTAACAGTTTAAAATATCGACAATTTGTTGGTATTACTTGTTCAATTACGCTTCTTATTGTATGTATATACAGTAAACTGATTTGATTTTTTAAAATATTGAAAGGTACCAGTTACGCTTAACACATCGGGGATACTTTCGAGGCTACGATCCTCGAACGGATGCGACACTTTCGAACGCTGCCGCGTCTGCTGGACTCTTCTTCATTGCCACGCTGACCCCAAAAACCCTCGACCTAGTTGACTCGCGATCGGCGTTAAAGTCTGGAGAAAGGTTCTTACTATCGGCCTTCTATGCTCCGCAAGAGTTCTATGAAGCTGGTGCTATTGATCGTCTGATCGTCGGCGCTACAGGTCAGTTGAAATTACATGCAAATATTATTTCAATGAGAAAGAATTCCTACGTACATCTCGCGAAATTTAATCATCGAAAGATATACGAGTCATTCATAGTTATTAACTCCATAGATACTCAACTCCGCACTAGAGCTACCGACAAAATTAGCAAGAGATAGTAACATGTAATTTATATTTTAAAAATATCTATTGCTAAACTTAATCAAACAAGAATCAAAAAATTACTTTTGTAGTCAAATTGAGAAATTGGAGAAAGAAAGTGGAGTTGATTAACATTGAAAAACTTTATGAGATTTACATGAATTTTTTCTTTATTTAATTTTTGATTTACATTTTTTGTTTTATGTAATTTCTGCTTTATTTAATTTTATGATAATATAAATATTTTAAAATGTTAATTATATTAAGTAAACTTCTGATTATCTCAAATTAGTTAAATTAATGTCATAATTAACTGAAAGAAACTAACAGATCAATATAAATTTAGTAAATTATTTACACGCAATTAAATGATAAATAAAATAATTAGAAAAATAATTTACGTAATTAAAAAATACGTCCTTGTTTCATTCGTATTTATTTTCCCGGTTAAAACAAAAGAGATAGTTACGGTTAATGTAGAATAATGTATGTCAATCTAAATGCCATTAGATCAAGCAAACTATTTGTTAGAATTGTTTCTACAGATGTTACTTCAAATGGCAAAGTTTTTAACGCAACCTTTCAAAGCGTTTATCAATTACAGAGTACAGTAACAGACTCTTTGTGTTACATGAACCTTAGAATTCATTATGTGAAAATTAACAAGTAAAGTAATATATTACGAGCATTTTTATAATCTTTTTTAAATTTAAAAATTGATAATCAATACAAAAAAAGCACGTCCGTTAATACAATACAGTATATTTAATACAGTAAATTAGATAAATTATATTAATTCTAGTAAAATTACTTTTTAATATAGTATAAAATTTACGTAATAAATATAATATATATATTGTTTAATAATAATAATTCTATTAAGATATTATAGTCTAATTACTAAGATAGTTCTATTTGATTTAAATTTTCATTGTACATATCCATTAAGATTTGATCATAATATTTGAAAGAAAACTACTAAAATTTGTCAAAGTATACGTAACGTATAGAGAAAATATATATAGATAAAATTTTTGTAAATATTGTTACAATTTGCTAACACATTGTCCCATGAGAACTTGGTTTTAATGGCGATCTAGGATGCAAGATTTAATTTCCGCGACAGCGGGACATTCTAGGAAGCCATTGCCGCCGGGATTGAATGAAATCCTTTTGGAACGATATTTTCATGATGGAAAAAGCAACGATATTGCTGTGGATTACGCTGCACAAATCATACAGCAAGGAAGGGATCATGGTTTACCACCTTATGTCAAATGGCGATCGTTTTGCAATTTATCATACGTCAGCAGTTTTGAAGACTTTAGAGGAGCAATGTCCAAAGATACTATAGAAAAACTACGAAAAGTTTATAAGTAAGAGAGAAATATATATGTATAATATGTACTGTAGATGTTTATGCATTTATGAAAAATTTAAAGATCCAAAAATACACAGAATGCAAAATATTTGCAAAAATATGAAATATTCAAAGTGTAATACTCACTGTAATATTTAATAGTGTAATAAATCTGTACTCCTACTTTCTTATTTTTGTTCATAAAAATGCAAATTTGCATGAAATTTGCATCTACGGTCTAGTTATCATTCTAGATATTTGTTATAAAAAATTAAGAAAACATAGTAATATTTCTTTTTCAATTTACAGAAACGTGGGAGATATAGATTTAGTAACGGGACTACTTTCTGAAGCACCCTTACCTGACTCAGTCTTAGGACCAACATTTCTTTGTTTATTGGGCCGCACTTTTCGGAATATTCGTTTTGGTAATTCACGATGTCTACAGTTAATTATAAATATATTACTCTAGTATATAATTTACGATATAATATTTTATAAATTATAATACAGGTGATAGATATTGGTATGAGAATATGAACACCCCAGGATCGTTTACCTTAAATCAATTAGAAGAAATCCGAAAAATCACAATGACACAAATATTGTGTTACAATGGTGAGAGATTGCATTGGGTGCAACCTAAAGCATTTCTTCTAAAAGATCGTTTTTTGTAAGTTTATTGTTAATATAGTAATATATAATTATTTTTCTCGGACAAAAGAAATAATGAATAATTTATATTTTTAGAAACGAAGTGATAAACTGTACGATACACACAAGCGGATCACCAAAGCTTTCATTTTGGAAAGAAAGGAACGATTCATAATTCCTTTACTATTTGCAATTGTACATAACAAATATTATCTAGTTATTATTAACAGAAAATACGAGCATTTATGTTAAACAACATTGTTCCTTATCATTGAAGTTATAAATCTCTATTTTTTTACCATAGAGAGATTTAAAAAAAGTTTGCTAAATTAAAAATTAATGAAGAATTTACAAATGAAACGCATTACTATGTACTCAAAAACATGTCCATATACTTAATATTTTTTATATATTTGTAATATTTGTAACAGTACAATAATTGTATGCAAAAAATGTATTAACGAAATATTTTCATATTTTCTGTACATAAAGTAACATAAAATATTTTTATAATTTTATAATTAACAGATTATACAGAAAATTATATATGAGTAAAAAATAATAAAAGATTTCAAAAACTTAGAAATGTTTCATCCTATAATGTACAATTTTTAATAATGCTGCTTAGTGTAAATATATAAAACTTTTTTATTGATAATATATAAAATTAATTACTCATAATATATAGATATATAAAAATTTTTTATTAATTTCTATATTATTATAAAGAATTAAGTATGAAAAAGTAACAAATTAATGTTTAAATCGAATAACAAAGAAGTATTTTATTTGATAAAAGATACGCATATTAACCTTTTCCTCTTTTGTTTGCTAAAATAATATTTTTCATAACTGATCATATTTTTTTCTAAGTATTGAACAAATTATTATTTTAAACAATTGTAATAATTTTGAATTGTACTTATTATATAACTGTAATACCGCTGACTCGTTACATCACTTTTTAAATTCCGGAAACGACAGGATATTTTCATTCACATGTTTAGTTGTTGAATAACTATAATCCTTATCATTTACAACAAAACAATGAGATATATTATTTTTTGTTAAAATACACAATTTAAACTATTATGGACAATTTATTCCATTTCTTTGATTGTAGTTTTTTACGATCTGCCTTATTAATGATTACGATATCTGTAGTAGAATATTCGGGATAATTCTCGAGTAACGAAGAACAAGAAGGCCATGCAACACATTGATTCGTTGATTCTCTTGGAGCTGAACTCTCATTGGTCAAATATTTCTACACTCGTACGGAAGAACTTTTACTGCGCGTATAGTCTGCGCATTACTAGTTTCTGTGAAGGTTGCATCACTACACGTGAAGTTAGGGTATTCGCGTCTTTTCTTAAGTTTTTTCGTAAATTTCAAAAACTAAAACGTGTAAAATCAAAATGCTGGCCGCTGCAAGATTGTTGACTCGTAGTTGTAGCAACATAACCTGCGACATTAGTAGAAAACAACAATTCAGCACAATTCTTAAAAATGTAAGTTCCGATGGCGATCCACGGCGTGCAATTTCATTTACCGAACATTTTTTCGTTGTATTAAATTTGTACAATGTTAATATCATTTGACCCTCTAATAAGATTAAGCTTGTTATTATACATTTGTTTTTATTTCGGCAACATTTTCTACACTTAAATATTCGTTTCATCAACATTTAAGTAATATCTATTTCGTAGCCGGCACGTGATCCACCTTTTCTAAAGATATTTAGTTTTTATATATCTTAAATTAATTTTATGAAAAGATAGAGCATTATTACTATTTATTGTATCTAAATTCATTACTTGTACCAAACATTATGAAACGCTTTTGTCGTATTATAATTGATTATAATAGTAAATATAACATTTAGAATATATAAATTTAAACATTTTTCAGGCTGCGGCTCCTGTATTCAGCGTACCCCAACGATTTACAGATCTGCAACAATACAGACACAAGTAAATTGATGCTATATCTTGTTACAATTATTTTATATATTGAAATTAACATTTAATTTTTATGTATTATCAACGACGCATCACTAATTGTGATTTTAAATGTCATGAGTTAAAACGTATTTCTTATTTATTTAGATCCGAAGGTGTGAAAGGTGCTGTTATTGGCATTGATCTTGGAACAACATTTTCATGTGTAGCAGTTATGGAAGGAAAACAAGCCAAAGTTATTGAAAATGCAGAAGGTTCACGAACGACTCCATCTTACGTAGCATTTACTAAAGGTTAAAATTTAAACTTTTATTAATTATTCTCTTTTATTAATTAAATATCATCGTATTAGAGAATTGATGTTTCCATAATTTGTAATAGAATTTTTAATATAAAATATTTTTAAATAATTTACAAGCCTATATATTTATATATGTGAAATAAGTATTTAATACTTTTCATTATTGGCAATGTGCATTGTCATTCATTTCATAAATGTTCTTAAAATCAGTAATTTGAATAAAAAGTTCAGTGTGAAGTACATGTGACATATCTATATTAAATTAATTCTAAAATTATAAAAATAAGAATCATATTTAAAATTATTTAATTTTGGAATAACTTTTGTATTAAACAAAGTATAAGTGATAAATTAAACACAATATATAATGCACAACTTTCAGATGGAGAACGTCTAGTTGGTATGCCAGCTAAACGTCAAGCAGTTACAAATTCAGCGAACACATTCTATGCTACAAAACGACTAATTGGACGAAGATACGACGACTCTGAAGTAAAAAAAGATATGTATGTATATTTTATATACATGTTAATAAATGTTGAATATTTTTGTTTTTTAAATGGCTATAATTTTAGGAAAGCTGTTTCTTATAAAATTGTTCGTGCCTCTAATGGAGATGCATGGGTACAAGGAGGTGATGGCAAAATGTATTCTCCTAGTCAAATTGGTGCATTTGTACTCATGAAGATGAAGGAAACAGCAGAATCATATTTAAGTACATCAGTGAAAAATGCTGTAATTACTGTTCCTGCATACTTCAATGATTCACAAAGACAGGCTACTAAGGATGCTGGTCAAATTTCTGGACTTAATGTACTTAGAGTAATTAATGAACCAACAGCAGCTGCTCTTGCATACGGCATGGACAAAACAGAAGATAAAATGTAAGAATATTTTTAATTGTTAACATAATATTACTGCGAAGTACATCAAACGAAGAATGATGCCATTATTTTTCGTCTCTTAGAGCTATTAAATGCTTGTATATATGCTGAAATTATTTACTGACTAATTTAACTAAATATCAATATTTTAATTGTTTAAAAAAAGCATATTTTAAATATAAAATATATTCTTTCAGTATTGCAGTCTATGATTTAGGAGGTGGTACTTTTGATATTTCAATTTTGGAAATTCAAAAAGGAGTCTTTGAAGTTAAATCCACAAATGGAGATACCTTCTTAGGAGGTGAAGATTTTGATAATGCATTAGTTAATTATCTTGTATCAGAATTTAAAAAAGATGTATGTATATTGAAATAAGTTTACTATTTTCAGTATGTCAAAAGTGATTACATGTAATGTTTTAATATTTTTATTTTTATCTACAGCAAGGTATAGATGTAACTAAGGATGCAATGGCTATGCAACGATTGAAGGAAGCATCTGAAAAAGCAAAGATAGAATTGTCTAGTTCTTTACAAACTGATATAAATTTACCTTATTTAACTATGGACTCTAGTGGACCAAAACATTTAAACCTTAAACTTTCAAGAAGTAAATTTGAAAGTCTTGTTGCTGATTTAATTAAACGTACTATTCAACCATGTCAAAAAGCACTTTCTGATGCTGAAGTAACAAAATCTGACATTGGTGAAGTATTGTTAGTTGGTGGTATGACAAGAGTACCTAAAGTTCAACAGACTGTACAAGAAATTTTTGGTCGACAACCATCCAAAGCTGTAAACCCCGATGAAGCTGTTGCTGTAGGTGCTGCAGTTCAAGGTGGCGTCCTTGCTGGTGATGTAACAGATGTTCTTCTTTTGGATGTTACTCCTCTATCACTTGGTAAATAACTACTTTTTTATTTATTTCATTAAGACTATTTTTAAACTATGATGATTAAGACTAATCTTCTCTCTGATCGAAATGAAGAACTTAATCTGCTGAGTTATTATGCCAAAATAAATTTTTAAGCATTTACATATGATTAGAGAATAATTAAATCCAATATTTGTATTTTTTAGGTATTGAAACATTAGGTGGTGTTTTCACACGATTGATTTCTCGAAATACCACAATTCCTACTAAAAAAAGCCAAGTGTTTTCTACTGCTGCTGATGGTCAAACTCAAGTAGAAATCAAAGTACATCAAGGCGAACGAGAAATGGCTAGTGACAATAAACTTTTAGGACAATTTACTCTTGTTGGAATTCCACCTGCGCCTAGAGGAGTACCACAAATAGAAGTTGCATTTGACATTGACGCTAATGGTATTGTTCACGTATCTGCTCGAGATAAAGGCACTGGAAAAGAACAACAAAGTATGTAAACGAATAAATCAAGAATAAGTTTTTATAAATGGACCAACGTGTTAATTCTTTATACGTATTAACAAAATTGTTCTATTTTTCAATTTTTAATTTTTATTTACAGTTGTTATTCAATCCAGTGGTGGTCTTAGTAAGGATGAAATTGAAAACATGGTTAAAAATGCTGAACAATATGCTAAGCAAGATAAAATTAAAAAAGAAAGAGTTGAAGCTGTGAATCAAGCTGAGGGCATTATTCACGACACAGAATCCAAATTAGAAGAATTTAAAGCACAGTTACCACAAGACGAAGTAAATCTTTATATACATAACTACATATATGGCACATAATATGTATTAACTTTTTTTTTTAATAACACCACTTAATTTTATAATTTAATAATTTTTATAGTGTGACAAACTCAGAGAATTGGTTGCAAAAGTGCGAGAAACATTAGCTAAGAAAGATGATACAGAACCAGAAGAAATTAAAAGACAAACAAATGAATTGCAACAAGCGAGTCTTAAATTGTTTGAAATGGCTTATAAGAAGGTGCGTGATTTATTTGTTACATCTTTTTGGAAATATACATTATTAAATTCATTTGATTATTTACAGATGGCTGCAGAACGAGAAGGACAAGGTCGAAATGAACAGCAGCAACAGCAACAACAGCAACAAGAAGATGGACCTGAAAAGAAAGAAGAGAAGAATTAATTCTCGAATAATTGACAAACAGTGGTGGTGTGACAGGCCAAAGCCGGGTCACTTTTACTCGTATCAAAATTTTCATTATACTTATTTTGGAACTAGGTTTCAAATACTAAATATCATTTAATAATGTTTATAATTTAAAAAATGGAAGAAACAATTTATAAATATATTTATAAATATATTATTTTATGTACATTGTGCACATAAAATAGAATCTCTCATCACGTGTTATTTATATATTTCAGGAATTTTACTGTATACTGTACTTGTTATTACTTGTACTGTTACATTATCTTGAACGTTTAACACATTCAGTCGATGATTACTTTGTTAGTCGATCAACACGTGCTTTAACAACTGATCAAAGTAACCTGGCATGGACTGGGCGAAAATTAATTACATTTAAACAAAAAATTAATTGTGCACACACAACTATAAGAGCATCAATCGTTGCTCGAGGAAAATGCATTTTTATATAGCATGCAACAAAATTATAACAAAATTAATTTTGCACTATAATTTTTGAGCATGTTTAAATTAGTATAATAAATTTAAATCTGAAAAATAAAGTACGTAAAGAATATTTTGAAAATGATCAGATTTAAAAACCTGATTACCGGTTGGTAATGAACAATTTAAGAAATTGAATATGTAAATGTGAATCTTTATGAAGAAGCTATACATAGTATGTTATTTATTACATATTAACAATTTGATAAAAGCAAGCCAAATTGCAAACTGTACATAACTGCTTACCTCATAGCATTTATTGCTATCAGATTTGCTATTATATTCAAGGAGCGTGCTGCAAATGCAAGCACGTTTAACAGTAGTAATGAAAATTGAAAAACAAGAAATGCAATCGTAAGACTTTATTAATTTAGTATGAATGTGGAAGAAAATAGAGAGAATGCAATGAGTGCTCGATCCATAACAAATTAGAAAATATGCGATATGTAGATTATTTTAGGAAATGTTATATTATGTGTAACCATGTTATTAAAATTTTTTATTTGAAATACAATTTTAGAATTTAATTTCAATGCTTTCAGTGCGTTATCTAATAAATTTATAAAAAAAGCAATGTACATGTAAATATATGAAAAATTGTATAAAATTTGTTTGCAACTATTAAAAATAGAATATTTTCATTGAAAGACGCATTTTATATTTGATATATTCTTATGACTTACGTATTTCAAAATAAATATATTAAGTTATTTCAAAATATTTGATTACTAAATTTGTACTTTTTAATAAATTAAACATCAATTAAGTTAATTTTTTTAAGTAAATATATACGTATATTCAAATAAATTATTGAATACTTTGAAAATGTGAAACAATTTGCTTGAAGACTACAGTAATGATCTGTAATTCTGTATAAAACTTTTATGTACATTTTAAACAACTATGTTTCACAGCTAAAGTTATCAGAAACTGTATAATTATGATGATACAATTAATCTCCTATGTACAAATAATAATAATAACACTTAATTAAAATAATTATAATTTAATTATAATTTTAAACAAAATCATGTATATGTAGTTCCTATTCTATTAAAAATAGAAGACAAAGTCTAATAATTATTAAAATTGCAGAAAAAACAATCTTTATAACAATTATCAATGTTTTTATAAAGAAATTGATCTAAATAAATACAATCTTAATAATTGTAATAAGTCTTGTATAACGTGTTTCTTTAATAGCGGTTTGTATAATATATTAGAGATATTCATTGTAAATTCATATAAACAAATTCATGTAAAACCATCAAGTGTTTCATGTAATAAGAAATGTATTCCTCACAATGTATGTTTTTGCTAAATTTAAATTCTAACATAGATCAAACTATTCTATTTTTAATAGTTGCAAACAAACTTTAGATAAACATTAAATATATAATATTAAAAAATGTATATTGGTGCAATAATTCATATAGTGCAATTTTAATTGTCTTAACTACATACATATTGCATACATATATACACATATACTTTTCTAAAAACATATAAAAGTATATAAAGACTAAACGTATCAACTATTTTATCAAGTCGTTATCTAATTTTACTGAAAAAAATTTATTCCTTAATACATTTCCTTTATTATATCGTCATCATATTTCTCTAAACATATTAGTTTAACATATATGTATATTTCGTTAATTAAATGCTGAAAATATGAACAGTTCAAATATTTTTTTTCCATAAGTCGTTGTATATAAAATATAACGTTACAATTGTTTGTTATGTAACTCGCAACACGACAACAGCGCACTCTATTTCTATCGCGCATGTTTATAAGAATACTCGACACTGGATCTTCAAACAATTTAAAAGTAATATATAAATTATTATAAGACACAAATATCAGAATTATGTACATAAAATTTAAACATAACACGAATTTTACAATAACACTATATTTATGAAATAGTATTCAGATGTTACGAAATGTGATGGAATCACGAAAATATTAACGTTTATAGAGGTACGCCACGTTTACATTAAAGTTTCGTATTATAATTAGTTACAATTAGAATTTAGAGATACAAGCGAAAATTAATATTATTACAAAAAAATAAAATTAGAGAACATTTCAATTAATCGATACGTATGTTCAATCAGTTGATGGTTAAAAGCGAAAATAGATATATATTTTCGTATACAGCGACTTACAAAAATACTTAAACATATACTATAGAAAATTTTTATATATATAAAATATAAAATATAAAATATTTTATCATTAATATTGTAATGAGGCCATAATGATCATATTAGTTAATATTTTCAGTCTGAAAATTCATGATTCGATATTCAGACTGATAGACGTAAAAATGTTTATATAATCAAATGAAATATTGAATATTTATGCATAAATTTAAATATTTGTGCAATATGCATTATTTATGCATTAATTTGAATATTTATGCATAAATATATACGATATTTTCGTAGGATATTGTTTTCCTGTAAATCCTATTAGTGCATGACGCAAACAATCCGCCAAGTTAATAACGCGAACCTGTTGCGCAGAAGGTTAGTCGATTACCGAAAATCAAAGTGTTAAGACATCATTCTGTGCGTGATATTTATTAACTGGATAATTCTTTCATAATCTTTCGCCATGTTATTATTAACGTTTAATTAACGTACGTTTTGATTTAATAGTTCATCAAATATTATAATTTGTAGTTAAATAATCTTTTTCTCTTTGATCGTCTTTTTGATTGTCAAGTGTTCATTTACCTTGATAGCTCGTATTAGGAGCTTTCAAAATAAGATTTAACCTTGATCATTATATCATTTTTTATATAATTTGTTTCTTTTATATATTCATTTAAAAGTTTTACTTTTCTTTTGTTCACTTACAGATTAATTATTGGTTGATTGCGAGGGAAATTTCGAAGCATTACGAAACGCCATGAAATTCAAAAGAATACCGCGAAATTCAAATGATTAATAATAAATCCGATAGCTCTTCATGAAGGTATGATAACATTTAACTTATTTTAATGAAGAAATTTAGGCAAATTTACTAGTAATGGACAGTGTTGCTCTGAGAATTATTTATTAAATATAATAATATTACATCAATAAAAGAATACAACGATTTGTTTGACAATTAATTTATAGAATAAAATCACAGGCTACGAAGGAGCATACTTCATTATGTTATATTCGTAAGTTACTTCATAATTTATGTTTATTAAATTAGTAAAAACTTACGAGTATTTAATTTAGAGCAGAATTTTTTATTCTGAGTTAACGTTTCGTTCGAAATACGCGCGTATTGGGTCTAGATTACAGCGCCAACGGTGAAATATGAAAACATTTACTACGATTCTCGAATCGTAATCGATATTTCTCACGATCGATTCTTAGGCGGGAAGCATGGCGGAAGAAAGTGCACCTCGTATTATCGAGAAATTCTCAGGTAAAACTTTAAATCAATAGCTGTTAAATTTGTGTTTGTCTTGTGAACTTTTAAGTTAAAATTTACATTCGACTTCAACTCATCAAAATCTGTTAGATTACCAAAACTGTGCATAATCTTTAGTTCCCTAAAGTGACTAATTATTTAACCAAATAATTATTACACATAATATTTCACCGCATTTTCGTACTCTTCGCTCTCCCACTACTAATCAGCTTTATTTTCAGAAAATTTTATGACTGCGCGCAATGCAGTTGGTAGAGTCAATGTTTGTTGCGCAGTATTTAAATATTTTTCTGAGCAAAATGTCTCTTATTAAATTAAATTAATTCATTTAAGCTATAGTTCACGAAATTAGAGTCAGTGAGTCCGATTGTTACTTAATCGCGCGCGTTAATACTCTTTTATTTTTCTTTTTTTTATATTTTTTCTTATTCAACATTCGTTTTCGGTATATTAGAGTCAGTGCTCAAGAGGATAAGGCCTCTCCTGAAGATCAAGATCGTAAGTAATTTTATATATTGTACTTCAGTTTATTCAAATTTTTCAAATTTGACAAAAAAATATAATGTTTGATATTTGTTACAGACGCATCACAGCATCAATTTTTTTGCATTTTTTTGAGGAAAATCCAGCGGTAGCTCTAAAGCCAAGAATGTAAGAATCTTTCATTATCTCGAACTTAAAATTCTGCTTTACTTTTAAATATTGTACAAATTCTAATGTTTTATGTTTTGTTACAGATCTTCCAATTCTCCTCAACCTCTATGAATCTTACGATGCTTCTAAAGCTAAGAATGTAAGTACTTTAGCACATTGTACTATTCTCTATAGCTCTCTTTCCATTCAAGTCAAATGTAATATTATAATTATTAAATGAAAACATTTCAAATTATTAAAGTCTCAATTTTTATCATTATAAAAGTTTAAATTTAATTTAAATAACACTTTGTCTTTATGCTTTTAGAAATTTTTCACGGCGTTCACTTTCACCATGGATTCTCAATGATATCTGCTTGAGAAGAATCTTCACAACGACTTTCCTTGGTCCAGCATCGACGATAATGTTCTTCGTATCTGTCGCGTAAGTTACACGCATTTATGTTCCTCCGGTCACTCAATCATGTCGTAGGACAAAAGGTCTGAATCGGCACGGGTGACTGGTTGTATACGTAGAATTTTTGATGAGCATAGTGACCGCGGGTATTTTTTTATACCCGTGAGTAGTAACATCTTTTTCAGGTTTTATATTAGATCAGGATAGGGCTTCTTGCACATCGCGATTTTAACAATTAGAATATGTACATTTATAGTAATTACTTATAAAATCATAATTACTTAGTAATTACTTATAAAATCAGAATATGCTTTCAGTATAAATCTTCAGAATAAAATATCCATATGAACAAATAAATTATAAATATTTATAAATAATTATTATTAAAACGAT